CTTGTTTGGCCCATATTCTGTTGAGCCTGTTTATGCACTAACATTTTTGTTGTACCTACGTGTTTTTCAGGAATACATGCGTGTAATGGGGCTCAAGTCCTGGCTTCATTCCACTGCTTGGTTCATCCACTTCTTTCTCCTGCTGTTAGTGTCTGTCTTCTTTGTTACTCTGCTCCAGTGTGTCCAGGTCAGTGAATGAAGCATTGTTATGATTTCTGGTGCAAGTTGAATTCAGTTATGGGTTATTTTTACAAACAAAATAAGCATTAAGATGATTCTAAAGGCTCCCCCCAGCCCCCTCAGTACTTGCCTGAGCCAGATCTCGATCCAGGGCTGTGTACTAGAGCAGTGGCTCTCCTGGTCTCTCTCTCCTCATTGGCTGAGACTCAGCAGCAGGAGCCATTGATACCTGCTGCTGTCAATCACAGTCTGTGAGGAGGGGGCAGGGCTGAGGGCTTATGGACACACACAGCTGGCTCAGGAGCGAGCACGCATGAGTGTCCCCATAGCAAACAGCTTGTTATAGGGGTACTCGGCAGGGGAGAGGAGCCAGGGATCCAAGAAGAGGAGGATCAGAGCTGCTGTGTGCAAAACCATTGCACAGAGCAGGTAAGTATGGCATTTTTTTGTTAATTTTAGCTGTCAACCACTTTAACCTTCTTTCTTTTTTTTTTTTTTTTTACTTTTTGTTTTTGTGGAACTTTCATTTTTTGTTTTAAAATACCTTCACTGAAAGGTATTTACAGACCAAATAATTGTGACAAAATTGATCTTCTCTGTATTACCAGTTAGTTATTCTTTTTGCTTCTTTTGTTATAGCAAATCATTCTAGACAAGGAACAGTTGACTCTACTATAGAATAATTTATAACCTCCACAGATTTGCATTTTATAGTTTCCTCTTTTCATTTGTGTTTGTAATTTCCATATTACTAAACAAACTCTGTCTGTCACTGAATTTGTATTACTTGCATTTAAAGTAATATAAATTTAAAGTTTACATATAGACATACAGAGCATCCATTCATCCATTGGCAACACAGAAAGTTTGGATTTGGAAGAATAGTCAAGAATCACAGACTTCTTACAAATAATAATCCTTACAGTATGCAGATATATATGAAACCAAGAAATCACATATTAATTAGTATTCAGTTCATGTTATGAATGACCGGTATACATTACCTGTATGCATATTGCCACTTCTGGGAGAAGAGAAAATAAAGTCCAGATATCTCCCCTACCTAACATACCACGTCTACCATCACATTCAATACTCTGCTCTTGTGACCCTATTATCACAAAGAAGGTTTCTGAGCTTTTTCCGAGGCCCACCTAACCTCTTGCCTCCTGGACCCTGTTGCCTTGCTCCCATTTACCTCCAAACTTAAACTTGGGTGCCTTGCCTACAACTGTCTAAGCTGCTATCTAACTGATAACAACCTTCCTGACCACTTACAGCCTAGCTTCTGCCCACATCACTCCACTGAATCTCTCCTCCTATAAAATCACTCTTATTTTGGCCTTTGAGGCCGTTTCTTGATACCTTCTACCTATCTTAGCACACCTTCAGGCTGGGTTCACATATATGCGTGCGGTATATCGCATGTGATTCGCATAGGAACCGCACCGCATTCCTGTGAAAATTACATGCGATTTGTGTGCGGTGCGATTGGAGCCATACATTTTGTATGGCTCAAATTGCACCGAAACTGCTCTAAAAAGGTGCAGGACACCTTTTGTGGTCCGCACTAGAATCAGATTGCGCATGGGTATTCACACGTATGTGATCCGATTCTGCACATTGCACTGTGGTTTGCGGACCGATTTCGGGGTGTTGTTAACATTACACACCCGCACCGTTTAGGATGAACGGGGTGCAGTTCTGGTGCGGTGCGGAATTTGCACAGAAAGCGCTGCAAATTCCGCACGCATCAGTGTGAACCTAGTCTCCATGTTGCCTACAACTCTGTCTTCTCTTTTTCCTTTTTCTGTAGATGTCCCCAAAGCTCTGTCTTCAGACCCTTTCTGTTTCGATATCTACACCTCCTCCCTACGTCAGCTGATAACCTCCCATGGCATACAATACCATCTCTATACTGATAACACCATAATCTGTCTCTCCACTCTGCTCACCCCTTCAGTCTCCTCACCTATCACTAATTTCCTAAGTGACATATCAGCATGGTTGTCACACCACATCCTCAAACGGAATCTTTCAAAAACTGAGCTCATAGAATGTCCCCTCCTCCAGCTTTTCCATCATGATCAATAGCACATCTATCAGTCCCCCCTCACTCATGCCATGGTGCTGGATGTAATCCGGAAATCTCCTTCATGCCCCACATCTAATCACTGTTCACATCTTGCTGCCTTAATCTCCGTAACATTTCCAAAATACACCCTTCTTAAAGTGGTTCTAAAGGCTCAAGGTTTTTTACCTTCATGCACAGCACAGCCATCTACATTAATTACAGTGAAGCACACTGACACTGCCCCCTAGTAAAATACTCCCTGCACACAGTTAACCCGTTGATCGCCCCTCATGTTAACCCCTTCCTGCCCAGTGCCATTAGTACAGTGTCAGTGCTTTTTTTTTTATCACTGTCAGTGACACCAAGTCAGTTCCCCCCTGTGTCAGAATGTCTGCTATAAGTGTCAGTGCCCCGCTATAAGTCGCTGATCACTGCCATTACTAGTTAAAAAAAACTAAATCCCAGTATATATACCGCCATTTATAAACGGTATAACTTTCACGTAAACCAATTAATTTATATGAATTGGGTTTTTTTGTTGTAAAGATTTGTTGAAATCTTTAAATTTCCCAAAATTGTCGGTCTTTTTTTTTTATAGCACAAAAAATTAAAAATGCAGAGGCGATCAAATACCACCAAAAGAAAGCTCTATTTGTGGGAATAAAGGAAGTAAAGTTAATTTGGGTACATCATTGCATGACCGCGCAATTGTCCGTTAAAGTAACGCAAAAAAATGGCCTGGTCAGGAAGGAGGGTAAATCCTCAGGAGGGCAAGTGGTTAAAGTCAATTCTTTTTTTTAGAAAAAAATAAACATGTTATACTTACCTGCTCTGTGCAGTGATTTTGTGCAGAGCAGCCCCGATCCTCCTCCTTTTCTCAGGTCCCCCACCGATGCTCCTGCCCCCCCCCGCTGCCGAGTGCCCCCCGAGCAAGCAGCTTGCTATGGGGGCACCCAAGCAGGCTTGTTCCCGAGCCGCTGCTCTGCATGTTCATTCCCACAGAGAGCCATGGGGCCAACCTCTCTGTTTCCTCATTGGCTCATTGGATGTGATTGACAGCAGCAGGAGCCAATGAGGAGAGAGAGTCCCTGGAGAGCCGTGGCTCTTGTGTACATCACTGGATCATGATGGGGCTCAGGTAAGTATTAGGGGGGCTGGAGCTAGAATGCAAGAAGGTAAAATCCTGGAGCCTTTACAACCACTTAAAGGGAGCTGTTTTACCTGCTAAAGGATTTGTATATCGATACTTTCAGTTTGGAGACATGCACAGCAATGTATGCTACACAGCCCTGTCTGGCAGGGAAGGGGACCTGAATTTTACTGTAGTTTAGTACTACTTACAGGTCTTGTCCTTCACCCAGAGTGTCAGCGGACAGTGAAATGAGAAGCAGCACACAGACACACCCATCTCTATTTCACTCTGCTTTCTTCTCCTATCCATATTCTCCTTGCATTGCCTCATCACTGATTGGCTTCTTTATTGCTTCTCTTTCTCTGAGCTTTTTTGAACAGTAAATGCAAATGGATAATAGTAAAGTTAAATTGAGATACACTATTTGGATTAAAAATAAATGTAATGAAAACGTAAAGACTACAGAGCTGCATTCAATTGTGCCTTTTATATAAATCTGGAGTTCAGCTTTAAGGTATTGCTAGCTGTTTTTATACAATTCCATTTGGAGATTGCATTTAATCTTTTAAATGAGTGGTTCTTGCAGGTGATTCTTGACATGCATGTGTGAATATGCTATGGAAATAAAGGTATTTATGCATTCTTAATCCATAAATGAGGTTTAAAATCAGCCCTTACAGACCTCTGTAGCTTTAGACACCGTGGAACAATTCATCCTCATAGTTCTGAGCTGAAGCATTGATGTAAAAAAAAAATTGTTCTCTTGACAGCTCAGCAAAACCTGCTCCCACTCCCAGATCTCCTGCTCTGTATTTACATTGGAGAATAGATAGGAAGGTTGCAAAGTCAGTGCTAAAGGGAAGGGCAGGTTGAGCTGAGCTGCAGGGAGAAGGTCTTTAGCCATTTCAGTGGCTCTGCTGTAAATTTTGAAGATGAACTGCTCCACAATGTCTGTAGTTACATAGATGAGTGAGTTGTAAAGCCCAATTATGGTTTGTTATGAATATGCAAATATTTAAATGTCGTTTGTTATTTAATATTTAAATGTCCTGACTTTTAAACTCTCGGAATGGAAATTTCACCTGAAATCTCAGCCCCCACCCTTTCATGGCCCCATAAAGAAAGAATTTCATGACATTTTCTCCATATTGTGCTATGAAGATTTCACCAATAAAAGGGAGGGGTCAGCAGCCTTGTACACTACAGTATTGTGTTAAAAGAAGGTTTGTGTTCTGTTTTTAGGTCAGCAGACAGGGAGCAGTACTGACACGAAGTGACCCCACTCTAGTTTTTTGCTATATCATGGTCTTTGCAATCTCCACTATCTCCTTCAGTTTCATGATCAGCAGCTTCTTCTCCAGAGGTAGGATTCCTTTTATTCCAAGATGGCGGACCTTGATGCTAGCAATGATTGTGAAAGTGGCAGGTGAACATTCTGTGCTTTTCTGTATTTTAGCAAACATAGCAGCTGCAGCTGGTGGCTTCCTGTATTTCTTCTCATACATCCCCTATTTCTTCATCTCACCACGGTATGACATAATTACGCACAGCGAGAAGCTGGTTTCCTGTCTGATCTCCAATGTTGGCATGGCCATGGGAGCGCAACTCATCGGCATGTTTGAGGGCAAAGGTCAGTGTAGATTACTGCTACCCCGGCAAGAATAATACAAGCACATTGTAAATGTATCTGAAAATAATATATTGTACATGGTAGTTAGCCCTTTTTTTGTTCTTTTTTTTGTAGGTACGGGAGCCCAGTGGTCTAATCTGATGACACCGGTTAGTGTGGATGACAACTTCACTCTGGGTCAAGTCTTGGGAATGCTGCTGCTTGATTCTGTACTCTATTCCATTATTGGGTGGTATGTGGAGACTGTTATGCCAGGAGACTATGGAGTTCCCCAGCCTTGGTACTTCTGTATTCTGGTGAGTCAATTCTGTCTCTGCCCTCTTACCATCTTCCTCATAGCACTTTTATAAGTGAACCATAAGATCCTCTTTTTCCAAAAGTGTGTTTTTATTTCTTTGTGGCTTCAATTTCCTGACAGTAAGTGCTGTGTAATGTGTTTTTTTTTTCTTTAATACACAGTGTCTGTCTGGTGCCTGGGATCTTTCCTCTCATATCTGTATAATCAGGTTCTAGAGTTAGGGCCGGTGCACACCACATACAGTCCAGTGCATTTTTTTTCTGCATCAAAAACACATCGATAGTAGGTTATATGGTTTCCAATGGCATAGTTCACACCAGTGCGGTCAGTTCCAGTGCCTTTCCGTTCCAGATAAAAAAGTAGAACATGCCGGATTTTTTTCTGCATGGAACTGTACTGGAATGCGATAAAAACACACCTAAATGTTATTATTTAAGGTGAATTAAAAAAAGGGGGGGAAATGCACCAGAACACATAAAAAACAAATCAAAAACACACCAGAGCACATCAAAAACATTCATGCAGTAATGCATCCAGAACGTATCTGGACTGCCTTTCTATGGTGTGATCGACCCTTAAGGCATGTTGATTTTATAAGGATACTTTTATTGTCATTCAGTGATGTACGCTGAGCCGCACATGTGCAACTCAGCGTACATTTACAGCAACCGCTCTGTACCATGATGATATGACTCTCGTGTACAAGAGTTACATTATCACAACCCGGCCATTCAAGAGTCGAACAGCCCGAACTCGGAAGGAAGACTGGGACAAGATGAAAACGCTGATAGCGCAGTGGTGGAGGGTACTATTTAACAGCCAAGTCTGCTATAATGTACTAATATACAGTGCATACTAGCAAATTATCGCATAAAGCACCCAAGGAGCCCATTTATTTAAAGAAAAATAGCGGAGTTTACTTCCACTTTATGTAACGCTCTCTCCCATATGTCACAGTAAACCTTGCCCACTTTGGTTCAAACTACACCTACATTCATATGACAATTTGCCCTACAAGCGAATCGTTTTTTTTTATACTTCCTATTCCCATACAGTTGTTTATGCAATGATGCTGTGCATCTCCCTATGACATTAGCACATGTACATCGCCTTCTGTCAAGAACTATGATATTAGTATCTATTAAATAGGCTGAACGTTTGATAAGATTGTTGGGATAACATTTTTACGATTGACCTTTTAGCCTTCCTATTGGTGTGGGACTCCCAGAAACGCAGAGGTGATTGAGAAGGAGGATGATGAAGATCCAGAAAAGGCACTGCGAGGGGAATACCTGGAAGAAGAACCATCAGATCTGATACCTGGAGTTCGTATTAAACATTTAACAAAGGTATGATTCTGCCTTGCATGTATCTAGTTGCTGTCACTCCTGATGTTTCCAGATAATACCTAGTAAAATATTCTCACTTTCCTATTATTCACAGCAGTTATTTAGCAATTATGACCAACTTTGACAGATTCTTGAGTGCAAAAATAGTTCAGTGGTTCAACTCAGCCTACCTCACCCTTCATAAAATATATAAATTGTTGGTGGTTGTTTGCCTTAGCACGTTCAGTTTCTTTGCAGATAAGATAAATTCTCATTTCTCAATTCCAATCATTTTCTTCTGTAAATTTTAATTCACACCTTAGTTTCCAAATGTGAACAGTTTTACATACTTTAAGTAAATTTTCATGCATCTTCTTTCATCTCTATGCTGCTTGCTAAACGCTTTTAAAAACTGTACTGGATAAAAATGTGTCTAACTTTAAAGGATAAGTTCACCTTTCTAGAAAAAAAAATTTGTGCATTTCTTCTTTTTTCCTGCAGGAGCCTGGAAAATCTCAGGATTCTACAGACAAGCCCTGCAGCTTTCAGCCCATATCTTCATATGGACTGACTGTTGACAAGCTGCAGGGCTTGTGAATGAACTATGAGAGTGCTCAACAGCACCCTCACAGTCCATTCATAACTACAAGCTGTCAGCTGCAATGGCTGATGGGATGATGAGTTCATTCATTCCCAGGATTCTGTGAATTGAATTGTGACAGCAGTTACAGGGAGAAGATCCCCCTGCCCGCTATCACAATGTGAGCGGCATTGGGGGGGAGAGGTTGTGGGAGCTGGAACTTGTTACATGTTCCAAAAGTGAACTTCTTCTTTAAGGTTTTAGGGTGCACTTTCTCATCTGGTCACTTTAATTTATCTAAATATCTAAAGGTACATTTTTAAGAAAGTAAACCAAAGTTGTAAATGGACAGCGCTATATAAGTACATGTAATACATTAAAAAAATAAATAAATATGGCTTGTGACATATTCTTAGGAATGGTATCTGTTTAAATGGTAAGTGCACATGTGAATGTGTTATTGGCTCTGAAATAATTTCATCAGTTTTTCCAAGATGCAGCCTTCTCCTGTTTCTTGCATGGCTTCTGATAACACATTACATGCCTCTTGTCTTTGATTTGAAGATGGGAAGATGGCCTGGTCATATTTCATTATCCATACACAGAGCCATCTCCCTTTTTTTTCTTGAGGGATGAGAAGAATCTTTATCTGCCATCTTAGTTTGTATGCAAGCGGAAAGGGAACAGGCAACCTAGATCTTCATGGAACACCACTATGAGTCACTTACTTGAGTGCTGTTTGCTTCATGAACCTAACTCTTCTGTATATGTGTGTGCAGGGCCGCTGATAAGAGGGTAGCACCAGTCCTCCTGTATAGGGTCTAAGCCAGCAGGGGGCCCGGGCAGCAGGGGAATTGGATATAGGCAGGAGAGGCGTTGATCAGTGAATGGGGAAGGTGGGGGCAGTTAGAGGAACTGATCCCCTGGGTGTCACTCCCTGCAGCAGCTAAAAGCAGGCTTCTCCTTCTCTCCCTCCCATCGGCTTTCAGCTGCTGCAGGGAAAGACACACAGGAATCGGTTTCTGTAATTGTCCCTCCCCCCGCCTCATGATCACCTTCCCTGTCCAGGATTCAATTCCCCCTGCTGCATGCTAATAATGATTTAGCGTATCCTTAAATGAAAACATAATTTTATTATTTTTGTGAGGGAGGGGGCTGTCAGACTGTACCTGTGATCTCTAACAGCAGCCCTCCGTGTGTGCAATGAGAATTGTTATAAAAAAAGAGGGGGAAACAACCCATACAACCCCCAGCTCATAGTGTCTTATCAAATACTTTCAAAGTAACCGTGTAATTTCTTTTTACCTTTCAAGGCATTCCGTGTGAATGGTAAAAAGCGTGTAGCTGTGTGGGATCTCACACTTAACATGTATGAGGGACAGATAACTGTGTTACTGGGACACAATGGAGCAGGAAAGAGCACTACACTGTCCATGCTGACAGGTAAGCAGAGGCTAGCAGAGGCTAATGACTTTTTTGTGCTTCAATGATGTCTTGTAGCAATGTAGAATTGACATGTTAGCTTTAATCACTTTTTTTTTTTTTTTTTTTTTTTTTTTTTTTTAGGCCTTTTACCCCCATCATCTGGTGAATGTTACATTGGTGGATACGAGATCTCAAAAGACACCTCTCTCATCAGGCGTAACTTGGGGCTTTGTCCCCAGCATGATGTGCTGTTTCAGGGACTTACTGTGGAGGAACACCTTTATTTCTATGCAGCGGTAAGGGTTAACGAGTATAGTGGTTTTTGTAATATCGTAGATACTGGAGACCCATAGCTTGGTTTACTGTAACCACTAAAACTAGTGTATCATGGTTCTGCAGCATTAGGGTGTGAGCACATATTTTTATATCTGTGGGAAGAACATACTGTGGATGCAACACCTCAGCCTGCATTTTTATTGTATTTCATATGCAGTTCAGTCACATTCATATAAAATTAGAAACACATTTTGGCTTCCCATATGCAATATAATTTCCAACATTGCATTCATCAGATGTATTGCAAACACTAAAAAAACTTTCTTGACTGTTAAAAGTAAAACCTAAATTAAAGGAGATGAGGACTGCATGACACTTCCGTGATCTATGTTATTCTAGATTAGTGACTCAGAAAGTTATTTTGATTTCATTTGGTCAGCATAAGACCCAAGCAACTAGCATTTTCAGAAGGTCAGCAATGAAAGCTTGGATTTCTCTAGACAAGTTTACTTTAAATTAGATTGTTGGAATATATTTAATTGATGTGAACATGGTCTAACCTGTAAGGCAGGCCATACGTTAAGCAATTTTCTTTCCTGCAGCCATGAGTTACAGAAAAGAAACTTCCTCGATTCCTCCATTAACACAGACAGTGTTGATGGGGGAATCTCTTTTGCAGCTCTATTGTGTTCTGCCAGCTGGGAGCCTTCCCTGTGAGCATAACGCAGTAATCACTGCTGGCAGCTATAGCTGCCGACAGTGATCGCATGAAAGAAATCCGGCAGGCTGGTTGTACTGAAGTCTGATCGACTTCAGTACAACCATCTTGCCCATAGATGGATCGAAACTTGGCCGGTGCCTGCTGAACCAGATGAGATTTGATCCATCTATGGCCAGCTTAAACAATGGTGCTGACATGCTAGCAGGTACCTATGTTAGTCTTCCTATCCATCAATACTTCTAGTGGAACTCTTTCGATCCTGGACTCAACTTTTATACAAGTTAAGCCCTTTCTACGTACTAAGCCCTTCTCCCTGTCATTCAGATGCCAAACTCCTCACCAGGGGCGGACTGACCATTTGGAAACTCGGGCACTGCCCGAGGGCCCGGGGTCAGTAGGGGGCCCCATGAGATGCCCCTGGTACCTTTTTCATAGGCTTTTTTGAGTTTGGGCAAGGACACAGGAGCCCCATGATCCCCTATTGCCCGGGGGCCCCATGAGTTGTCACTCCGCCCCTGCTCCTCACTTGACATTACCATGTTAGAAGGCCTAGCACACTTTGGAAACAGTGTCTTAAAAGTAACCTTTTATTGAATGATTTTATATACAGTACATACTAAATTATAGTATATTCATCCTTGGTTTATAAACTGGCACACTTTAAAAAATATTTGTAAGAATATCGACCAACAAAAATCAATATAGTTTTGCTGCCAGTCAGCAACCCTGAACTTAAGCATAAGTGCACTGTTTGCAGTTGAGGCATTGTGCATTTCAGTGATCCATAGAGAACTATCAGTTTATCTTCACAATGCAAAGTCACTAACTTCTGTCTGTACTCTTTCAGTTAAAAGGTTGTCCACGCTGGCGTTGTCCAGAGGAGGTGGAAAAGATCCTGCAAATCCTTAGGATTGAAGAGAAACGCTCTGCTTTGAGTACCCAGCTTTCTGGGGGTACATGCCGCAAGCTCTCCATAGGCATTGCCTTAATAGGAGGATCCAAGGTATCAAAGTCACTAGGGGAGTGTGAGTTTAAGGGAGAGTTTCACAGACTGCTTTACTGGCAGTGATTTAAAAGATGCGAAATCAGCATGAAAAGAACATTTTGCTGTAAAGCTATGTATAGTTCAATGTAAATGTCAGGACATTTACAGAAAAGGTAAAATCTGTCATGCCATTACTCCTTTTTTTGTATATCTTTCAAATATTTTCATTGAACTTTTCACAGAGAAAGTACCTTCACAGAAAGGTCCCACTAAACCATATTCCATTCTGGTTATGAACTAGTAGATTTTCATACGTAAATTCACATTCATAGTATCTTCGATGCCTTGACAACTCAATGACTTGATTTTGGAAAGAATGGACTTTACCAAACAAAAACCACACACACTGTTAGAAATTCATACAAGGGGGCACGTATATGTGTGGCTGTAGGGTGTGGAATGGCCACGTTGCAGATGATTGGCCCATTACACATTACCGCTTCCTGGAAGGCTCGGCCCCGTGGGTTTGGAAGAACAATCGAACACGCTCAAATGCTGTTCATGATTAATGTATTTGCTTGTTGTACCTATAAGTAATGGGTGGGGGTAGGGGGCAGAGGAAAGGGTATAGGAAGGGTCATATTTGTTTGTACATTGTAAAATCTCTAAAAACTATTTGATTTAAAAAAAAAAAGCTTAATAATGTTACTGCACTTAACAAATAAAGGGCAGATGTGTTTAATTAGATTGAAAAAAAAGACCAAGGCCTATCACCATCAACTTGTTCTAATTTTCAAACATGTTTATTACTGTTGATTCAGAAAAAGACAATATAAGAACTTCAGTGAAGCAGCTACCATTTCTCCCTCGTGGTGGGAAAGGGATTTTTTTGACTTTGTCATTATCTCTGATCCTGTGACAGGTTGTGATGCTGGATGAACCCACTTCAGGAATGGACCCAGCATCTCGCAGGGACACATGGGAGCTTCTGCGTCAACACAAACATGACCGCACTCTCCTCCTTACAACGCACTTTATGGATGAAGCAGATCTGCTGGGAGACAGAATCGCCATACTTGCCCAGGGGCAGCTGCAGTGCTGTGGATCTCTCTCTCTTCCTCAAAAGGAAATATGGTGAGAAGAGGAAGATGTAATTTTCTCTATTTGTTTTTATAGAACTGAGTATACATCAGTTATGTAAAAGGTTATCCTGATGTTCATGCGCTGGACCACCAGTGATGTGCCAAAAATTCTATTTGTTTTAAGAAATCTTGTAATGATACAAAACAGAACATGCCAACCTGTCTGTACTAACAGCGGCTTCTTGAAAGTTGAACGTATACTCTACCCCTCAATCTGTATCCTATAATTCAATGTTGTGGCCTTTACTAGCTACTGAGAGGTGGCAGTGCTCATGCTTTAACTTTCAAATGTCTGTGTTATTATTCACTTGATGCATTTTATTTTTATTGCACTTTATTTTTAAGCCCTGTTGGTTTATTTTAACCATTAAAATATAAGGGTACACAAGTCTGCCTTTGTATAAAACAGGGGAGTACACAAAAAAAGTAAAGTATTTAGATCCCCTTCAGTGTTTTCAATTTTGTTATGTTGCAGCCTGATACTACAGTTGTATAAATTATTTTTTTATTAATCTACAGTCAGTACCCCATAATGGAAAAGTGAAAACATACCGTATTTCGCGCTCCATAAGACGCACCTGGTTTTAGAGGTGAAAAATAAGAAAAAAATATTCTGAACCAATGGACTGCAGACACAGTACAGGAGATGACCAGAGACTGCGGACACAGTACAGGAGATGACCAGAGACTGCGGACACAGTACAGGAGATGACCAGAGACTGCGGACACAGTACAGGAGATGACCAGAGACTGCGGACACAGTACAGGAGATGACCAGAGACTGCGGACACAGTACAGGAGATGACCAGAGACTGCGGACACAGTACAGGAGATGACCAGAGACTGCGGACACAGTACAGGAGATGACCAGAGACTGCGGACACAGTACAGGAGATGACCAGAGACTGCGGACACAGTACAGGAGATGACAAGAGACTGCGGACACAGTACAGGAGATGACCAGAGACTGCGGACACAGTACAGGAGATGACCAGAGACTGCGGACACAGTACAGGGGATGACCAGAGACTGCGGACACAGTACAGGAGATGACCAGAGACTGCGGACACAGTACAGGAGATGACCAGAGACTGCGGACACAGTACAGGAGATGACCAGAGACTGCGGACACAGTACAGGAGATGACCAGAGACTGCGGACACAGTACAGGAGATGACCAGAGACTGCGGACACAGTACAGGAGATGACCAGAGACTGCGGACACAGTACAGGAGATGACCAGAGACTGCGGACACAGTACAGGAGATGACCAGAGACTGCGGACACAGTACAGGAGATGACCAGAGACTGCGGACACAGTACAGGGGATGACCAGAGACTGCGGACACAGTACAGGAGATGACCAGAGACTGCGGACACAGTACAGGAGATGACCAGAGTCTGCGGACACACTACAGGAGATGACCAGAGTCTGCGGACACACTACAGGAGATGACCAGAGTCTGCGGACACACTACAGGAGATGACCAGAGTCTGCGGACACACTACAGGAGATGACCAGAGACTGCGGACTTAGTACAGATGACCAGAGACTGTGGACATAGTACAGGGAAAATGCCAGGGACTGCGGACATAGTACAGATGATCAGAGACTGCAGACAGTACAGGGGATGACCAAGAGACTGCGGACCTCTGGGGAGGGAGGGGGAGCGAGTACCTGAAGTTTTCCTTTCTTTAGTGTGGGCACGCTGGCTTCTTCCCGCGCCAGCTTCTGTGACAGCCGGGAGCCCACTGCGCATGTGCGAGAAACGCTGCGCTTTGTGAATGGCCCGGCACCTTCTGGGACCTATCGTGTGTCCCAGAAGTCGGACACACGATAGGTCCGACTTACAAATACGATCCTGCCATACATCTCAAATTGATTAAAATCACAGTACCACCGTAATGCACAAAATATTTGGGAACTAAACATAATTTCAAACTGGCAACTTAAACCTGCAATTCTTCTTTTGTACCAAGTTTTATAAATATTCCATTATAACGGATATCAGATTTCAGAATATATTCAAATGTGGGTTATTTAATGCTAGCAGTGAAAAATCTGTGCTGTGTGAGTGTTATTAGGCTCTCCCAGTGTAATACCCTATTCTATGTACAGGTGCTGGATACCATATGGTGATGGTGAAGCAGCCAAACTGTCAGGTGGAAGAGATCACAGAACTTGTTACCAGCTATGTGCCCAATGCCATTCTTGAGAGCAATGCTGGGGCGGAGTTGTCATACATCTTACCCAAGGAGAATACCAACCAGTAAGTGGCCTGTAACCCAAGGTTGAGGATTACACACACAGTTACAATTGACCTTTAATGTGGATTGGATGACAATCCTCCCTTATGGTAGAGACAATCTAACCAATGCCTCAGCATACAGTATGTTACATGACCAACTACAGGAGGGAATCCAGTTTCCTGTCTTGGTAGCCAAGTTCTTTTTTTTTTTTTTTTTAAACATTTTTGAAATCCATGATTACCATTTTGTATTATAAATGCAAGTGAATTGTTATAATAACTTATTCTTAAAGTTTAAAGTCACTTTTGCTGGAAACAAAAAAATTACATGGATTTGGCTTTAATTGGGCAGCACAGTGGCTAAATGGTTAGCATTTCCGCCTGGCAGTACTAGGGTCACTGGTTCGAATTCCAACCATGGCACCACCTGCCTGGAGTTTGCATGTTCTCCCTGTGACTGCGTAAGGTTTCCTGTGGGTACTCAGGTTTCCTCCCACACTCCAAAGACATGCTGGTAGGTTAATTGGCTCCTGTCTAAATTGTCCCTAGTATGTGTATGTATGAATGTGAGTTAGGGACTTTAGATTGTACACCCCTTGAGGGTTAGGGACTGATGTGAATGTACAATATATATGTAAAGTGCTGCGTAAATTGACTGCGCTATATAAGTACCTGAAATAAATAAATAATTGCCCAATCCTTCTGGCTGCCATTGATACTGAAACATGCACATGGATTCCACTCACCTCCTGTGATGGTCACATGATCAGTCCCTGTCTAATAATAGGAGAAAAACCTAATGGCAGCAGCAAAGGGCCAACCACTAGAGCAGGCTGTAGACTCTCAATTTTTGTTAGTACAAGTCAACGTTAACATTTGCGGTATAGCAGTATGCAACTTGTTGTTCAGCCTAGTTCAGGCTGGTTGTTTTCTTTGTGCCCTAGCGGAACTTGCGCTTACCCAGTGCAAAAAAAAAGTTCACTGCGCGAATAAGCCCTAACCATTTTTTCCCTTATTTTGAGTGTTGATAAATTTCATATACAGCATATATGAAGTTAAAGTGGTTCTAAAGCAGTGGTACTCAACCTTCCTAATGCCGCGACCCTTTATTACAGTTCCTCATGTTGTGGTGACTCCCAACCATAAAGTTATTTATCCAGTAATTATAATTCATGAGTGTCGTTTTACCTCCAATACTGCTGCTTTCAACACAGTAGCTACTTTTAACAGAGTAGCTGCTTTCAACACAGCAGCTGCTTTCTACACAGTAGCTGCTCTTCACACATCAGAAATATGTGTTTTCCGATGGTCTTAGGCGACCCCTGTGAAAGGGTTGTTCAACCCCCAAAGGGGTCGCGACCCACAGGTTGAGAACCACTGCTCTAAAGGCTCAACATTAGGTAAAAAGAAAACATTTAATAGTAGCTCCCCTCAGCCCTACTTAAACACTTACCTGAGTACATCCTTGATCCAGCACCGTCCCATTTGCAGTAGCTCTTCTCCCGTCTCTCCCCTCTCATAGGCTCTCACAGGCCTGGCTGAGAGCAGCGGGAGCAATTGACTCCTGCTATTGTCAGTCACATCCTGTGAGCAGAGAGCAGGGGTGGGCCGGTCCGCGCTGTGTGCGGCTTGGCTCAGGATTGAGTCAGCATATCCGCCCCCATAGTAAGTGGCTTGCTATGGGGGCAGACACACAAGAGGAGGAACACACAGTGCCAGCGGGGGACCCTTGAAGAGGAAATTCGGGGCCACTCTGTGCAAAACCATTGCATGGGACAAGTAAGTATGACATGCTTGTTGTTTAAAAAAAGTAAACTTTTACATTCACTTTAATAGTTCTTATCTAGAACACAACCTTCATATATTACCTATCAGTATTTTAACTACCATTTGTGTTGTTAGGTTTGAGCAGCTCTTCTCTGAACTTGAGAACCGTAGGGATGAATTGGGTATTGCTAGTTATGGTGCTTCTGTTACCACCATGGAAGAAGTGTTTTTAAGGTGAGATATTCAGCGTCTTCTCCCTACTATTACTGTGTGAATACTGATCCCAAAATAGATCCTTTTGAAAGTAACTATCATTACATTTGTACAGAGTGGGAAAACTAGTGGACACCAGTCTGGACATACAGGCAATCCAGCTTCCAGCACTCCAGTACCAGCATGAGCGTCGGACTAATGACTGGGCAGCAGAGGAGTCTTGTTCCATGAGTGACTGCACTGAAGACAGCGGAACCCTTATTACTGAAGACTGCTCCAGCATCAAACTTAATGGAGGGGTAAGAAAATCTGATGTGGACTATTGATTGGAATATTAAAAGGGATATTATAGGAGAATTACAGATGAAACACAATTTTTTTTTTTGTCTATGGATGTACTTCTTGTTTTTCCTCTAATGTGGCTTTTGTAATCAAGAGTATTTTCTTGTATGCATGTGCTTACAGAGATCACTTTTCAAACACAGAAATACCTAGAGAAATCTAAAAAATCCCCTATACTAAAAGAAAACAATTGGGCTCCCATTGCTGACCCCCTTTTGACAATATAGCTGCTTGGCTGTCTCTGAGATCAGTACTTTGGAAGTCACTGACCTGAAGCGGGTATGAAGATCTGGAGGGTCAGAATTAGATCTGTTCTTGCTTGGTCTGAGTCAGTGACTTAAAAGTACTAAAGCCATGGGATCAGCATGACAGCCAGGGAACGTGTATTTTCAGAAGAAGAGATCACCAATTGTGGCCTCCATACCTCCTCAGAAAAAGTTGAATCTATTAGTTTCTTAACTGTTAGCTAGCCTCCAAAGCAAACATAATCAAATTATGTGGGTCCAGTTTTCCAGTCTTAAAGATAGCCATGGACATGAGGTTTAAAGTGGTTGTAAACCTCAGACATGAAATATGAACAAAGCATATCCCTCTATAGTGTGTACTTGTTTCAATCCAGTGCACTAAGTTTAATTTCTGTCTGCTGCTTCTTTCCTCTGCTAATCGGCATAAATAATTTCTGACAACTTTTCCTGCAACCAAGAGAAAAATGGCAACGGGGAGGGACCTCCAGTAGATTGACAGCCTCAGCTCCTTTCCTGTGAGCTGTATGGAGGTGGGGGGGAGGGTGTCTTTTTTTCCTCCAATTAGCTGTCAGAGCTCTCCTTACTGAGCTCTGCAGAGTGAATTTTCAGCTCTCCTTCCCTTTTTTCTGAACTCTCAGGGCCAGTTCACACTACATGTGTTTCAGTTGCTTTTTTTTTTCCACATCCAAAATGCACAGAAAGTAGGTTATATGGTTGTCAATGTCATAGTTCATATCAGTGCTTGCAGTTCCAGTGCGTTCCAGTTGCAGAAAAAAAAGTAGAACATGCTGCATTTTTTCTGCACAGGACTGTACTGGAACACGGTAAAACGCATCAAAAATGCACTGGGATTGACCAAAATGCACCAAAAATGTACTGGAATGCACATGTCCCTATTTAAATTGAAGAAAAAGAGAGGGGGAAAAAAACGCACTGGAACGCATCAGAAACGTACCGGAACGTGCCAAAAACGCATCCAGAACTTATCTGGACTACGTTTCTATAGTTTGAACCAGACCTTAGACAAGCTTTATAAATTCAGCATTTTGAATGGCTGTAAAGAAAGGAAGACCTCAGATAAACAGGTACAACTTAGGTATGAGGATTTGTTTCATCTCTGTGTATCACCAGTCTCTTCATTGGGTATATGGAAGGCGTTACAACCACTTTAGGCAGTTGTACGTAAAGAAGGTTGAACAAGAATAGTAGCAAGTGCATTATCCTCTTTAATTACTTTCATATGGAGATGGAGATAATTAGGTGGTGAACAGGATCCTCTCATACCACCATGTAATCATGATTTATTTGTGAAAGGAATGTATTGGGATAGAAATATTGCTTATGTGTATTTGATGGCAAAAGTACTGAGTCTGTCATCCTTATCTGCTACTATTTACCGTATTTTTCGCTCCATAAGACGCACCTGACTATAAGACGTGCCTAGGTTTTAGAGGAGAAAAATAAGAAAAACAATATTCTGAACCAATTGACTGCAGACACAGTACAGGGGATGACCAGAGACTGCGGACAGTACAGGGGATGACCAGAGACTGCAGACACAGAACAGGGGATGACCAGAGACTGCGGACACAGTACAGGAGATGACCAGAGACTGCGGACACAGTACAGGAGATGACCAGAGACTGCGGACACAGTACAGGAGATGACCAGAGACTGCGGACACAGTACAGGAGATGACCAGAGACTGCGGACACAGTACAGGAGATGACCAGAGACTGCGGACACAGTACAGGGATGACCAGAGACTGCGGACACAGTACAGGGAATGTCCAGAGACTGCGGACACAGTACAGGAGATGACCAGAGACTGCGGACACAGTACAGGAGATGACCAGAGACTGCGGACACAGTACAGGAGATGACCAGAGACTGCGGACACAGTACAGGAGATGACCAGAGACTGCGGACACAGTACAGGGGATGACCAGAGACTGCGGACACAGTACAGGGGATGACCAGAGACTGCGGACACAGGTCAGGGGATGACCAGAGACTGCGGGCACAGTACAGGGGATGACCAGAGACTGCGGACACAGTACAGGGGATGACCAGAGACTGCGGACACAGTACAGGGGATGACCAGAGACTGCGGACACAGTACAGGGGATGACCAGAGACTGCGGACACAGTACAGGGGATGACCAGAGACTGCGGACACAGGTCAGGGGATGACCAGAGACTGCGGACATAGTACAGAGGATGACCAGAGACTGCGGACACAGTACAGGAGATGACCAGAGACTGCGGACACAGTACAGAGGATGACCAGAGACTGCGGACATAGTACAGGGAAAATGCCAGGGACTGCGGACATAGTACAGATGATCAGAGACTGCAGACAGTACAGGGGATGACCAAGAGACTGCGGACCTCTGGGGAGGGAGGGGGAGCGAGTACCTGAAGTTTTCCTTTCTTTAGTGTGGGCACGCTGGCTTCTTCCCGCGCCAGCTTCTGTGACAGCCGGGAGCCCACTGCGCATGTGCGAGAAACGCTGCGCTTTGTGAATGGCCCGGCACCTTCTGGGACCTATCGTGTGTCCCAGAAGTCGGACACACGATAGGTCCGACTTACAAATACGATCCTGCCATACATCTCAAATTGATTAAAATCACAGTACCACCGACTGAGACCGATGACCAGAGACTGCGGACACAGTACAGGAGATGGCCAGAGACTGCGGACACAGTACAGGGAATGACCAGAAACTGTGGACATAGTACAGAAGACCAGAGACTGCAGACAGTAAAGGAGATTACCAGAGACTGCGGACCTTTGGGGAGGGCGGGGGAGCGGGTACCTGAATTTGACAGGTACCCGCTCCCACTTCCGAGGAGTTGTCCTTCCTTCTTTTCCCGCGGCGGCTTCTGTGACAGCCGGGTGCCCACTGCGCATGCGCGAGAAGTGCCGCGTTTTGTGATTGGCCCGGAGCCTTCTGGGACCTGCCATGTGTCCCAGAAGACACTGGACCATTCACAAAGCGCTGCGCTTCTCACGCATGCGCAGTGGGCACCTGGCTGTCACAGAATCCGCCGCGGGAAGACTGTAGCGCTGGAGCGAGGAACAGGTAAGGCCCTGCAGGAGAGAAGAGCTGAGCGGACGGCCCGATATTCTGATATGGTGGCGGCAGAAATACCGGACCAGCCGCTTTCGCTCCATTCGCTCCATAAGACGCACTGACATTTTCCCCCTTTTTTTGGGGGGAAAAAAGTGTGTCTTATGAAGTGAAAAATACGGTAATTACTCACTGATCTGAAACAAGTATGTGCATGTCACGTGGTGGGACAGACCTATAACCTGCTCCTTTACAAATAAGCAGCTCCCATTTTTATATCCTGACAAGATGCTTTTTGGCCCTTTTCAATTCAGTTCTATTTAACTAAATCAAATAGGTAATCCATGTTTTCTTTTGTAGACGTACCTCTGGTGTCAGCAGTTTTATGCTCTCTTCATGAAGCGTGCTGCCTACAGCTGGAGGAACTGGAAGATGGTGGTCGGGCAGTTCCTGGTACCATTGGTATTCACAACATTGGCTCTGGTAGTAGCAAAGACATTCCCTGGACCTCAAGATTCTCCAGCCCTGGAAATGAGCTTGGCACCTTATGGGTACACAGCAGTGCCATACTCTCTGCCACCCAATGCTTCTCTCTTGCTACAGAGCTTGGCAGAGAACTTTAAAGAACAGCTTGATGAACGTTATGTGAAGCCGCAAGAAGTGATAGGTAAGATTCAGGATTGCATCTCTCTATCATATGATCTAGTTTCTCTTCCGTAAGTTGAAGAACACAGCAGTCTTTCTGATGGATAGGTTTGATGTCACTCCTGCAGGAGCAGGAAGCTAGGTACATCTAAAACTAAAAGTACACCCAAGGGGGCCCCTCGCCTGTTGGTGACCAAACCCACCATCTGCAACACACATCTGTTTTTTCCTAGCACTTATGAGTTACTACATATAATTTTTTATGATTTTATCCTCTTTATTTTTTTCAGGAAATGTGTTCCTGTAAACAGATTTTCTTTTGTTCTAACCAATGGATATTTGTTCTGGACAAAGAAAATTTCTTTTCCTTTCGATTAATTTTTTTCTGTCCACTGTGGTGTTGGGTGACAGGCAGAATAATAAAGATTAGGTTAGTCACCCAACTCTGCCATCAAGCGCATGTAGTTCTCCATTATGCTGTTGCAGAGTGGTCCTGAGGGACTCTCCCCCCTCGGCAAACGCATATGACAGCCGAACCTAGTCCTTCCATCACAGTTTCTCGTTTAGAGCCAACTACACCCAGATAAACATAGGATTGGAGATGTTTAATTTCTTCCTCCCAGACAGGCATCATCAATAGAGGACTACAAATCCATAGCTTGCCTCCTCTAACCATGAGTACTGTCCTATGGTTGGTGCTGGGTGCATCGGGTATATGTAAGTATTCCCTTGCCCTGGGTGATCCCTTCAATTCCCCATTTTTTGGGGTCACCAATCGTACAGGGAATGATCCTCTCTAGGCAGATCTCCCATGAGGGTGGCCAAAGGTTAGCTCTTTGTTTGAGTAGGGACTGGGTGTGCAAGTGGGAAGGAGGAAAGAAGCATAATATATATATTGTCCAGATTTAACCACTTCCCGTCCGGACGTTGTATATAAACAGCCGGACGGTGGCAGTGCAGGGTCGGGTGGCTTTTTATAAATGGCCTCCCCACCCCCTGCTTGTGCGCACTCCCTGGGAGCGTGCAGCACCGCGATCCAGTGCCCGCTGTGTCCTTTGGACACAGTGGAACACCGATCGTCGGACGGGACCTCTGCGAGGTCCCTATCATGTGATCACTGATTGGCCAATCAGTGATCACATGCAGAGTAGTAAGCAAGATGTCACTTGTGACATCATTGCTTACTACGTGTGAAATCTGTGAATGATCACATAGGTCACATGGTACAAGGCTATTCACAACAGTGAATACCATGTGACAAGCTGTGACCAATCACAGCTCGCACAGTAGTTCTCAATGGCTGCAAGAATGCAGCCAGAGAGAAGGAGAAATGATTGCTTTTACAGCCTTTATGGGTGTAAAAGCAATCGGTGTAAAAAAAAAAAAATAAATAAATCATCACCCCCCACAAGTAGTACAGTGTCACCATGCTGACACTGTACTGCTAGGGTGACAGTTGTAAAAAAAAAAAAAAAAAAAATAAATAATAATATGAAAAAATTAAATGTAAGAAAAAATGTTTAAAAATTATAATTTTTGGTTAAACTAATTTGGGATATTTTTTTTTTTTACTAAAAAGATATTGGAATACATTTTGGCTAAGATTTATGATGAAATATTATTTGCAAAATTTTATAAGAAACACTTTTTTTCAAAATTTTTGGACTTTTTCATTTACATAGCAAAAAAACATAAAAATCCCAGTGGTGAATAAATACCACCAAAATAAAGATTTATCTGTCTCAAAAAAGGCTAAAAAATTCATATGGGTACAGTGTTGCATGACCGCGCAATTGTTATTCAATAGCGATAGCGCTGAAAATTGGCCTGGACAGGAAGGGGGTTAAAGTGTCCAGACTGGAAGTGGTTAAATGTATTCAGACTTATATCATGAAAAGCCAATGCATTTTTGGGGTTCAGCGTGTCCCTCTTTATCAGGGATTAGTACTGTTAAAGTGTGCACTGGACTAATAGAATTGAAAGGATCTTGAGGATTAATTAATATGACCCGTCCAGATGCCACATTGATAAGGGTTCAGTCTGTTTTAGTTTTTTCTCTTGTCAGTAAAAGAACCCCTTTAAAAAAAAAAAGGATTTAAAGCAGAGATCAGATTCTACTCTCCACTGGAAACCACAGTGTGTTGCAGTCTGGGATATAGAGCCTACTCTGGCTCACAAAGTTCTCTCTGTTTAACAGAGAAAACCTTATGATTGGAGCAGAAGCCAGTCACATGACCCTGGCATGTCACATAACTCCGGTCCGGTCTTTTTTCTTTTTCCATTCCTTGTGACTCCAGGTTTATAGTAGATGATTAAACTTTGATTTTAAATAACATTTTCATTGTCTTTTATAGGTGACCTTGATAACTACCTCCTGATTAAGGCTTCTGAAGAGGGCGCCCTGTTTGCAGAGCACTGTCTCTGCGCTGCGGAGATGCAGAGCGTTAATTCACGTGTCCGCATCACTGCCCGTTTTAACAACCAGGCCTATCACGCCGTAGCTGCTGCTCTTGCTTTGGTTGATAATGCCCTATTCAGGCTACTTGCTGGCCCCAACGCCTCACTTTCAGTGACCAACTATCCCCAGCCACGGAACACTACAGAAACTGCACGGGATCAGCTGCTTGAGTAAGTGGATAGGGAGCAAGACTAGACCCTGCAGAACACTATAGAGCAGTGGTTCTCAACCTGTGGGTCGCGACCCCTTTGGGGGTCGAACGACCCTTTCACATGGGTCCCCTAAGACCATCAGAAAACATTTCCGATGTGTAAAGAGCAGCTACTGTGTAGAAAGCAGCTGCTGTGTTGAAAGCAGCTACTCTGTTAAAAGCAGCTGCTGTGTTGAAAGCAGCAGTATTGGAGGTAAAACGACACTCATGAATTATAATTACTGGATAAATAATTTTATGGTTGGGGGTCACCACAACATGAGGAACTGTATTAAAGGGTCACGGCATTAGGAAGGTTGAGAACCACTGCTATATAGAGTCAACATTTCACTAGTGTGGTATCATGTCTGCAGTATTCATCATTCTTTGGGAAAAATGAGCTGTGTGGGAAGATTCTGTATTTTATCATATTAAATAAATCCCGCTACACAGTGAACTAAATACTCATAACCCCTAACATCAAAAAAATGTTTCAAATCTTTCACTGCTGCTGCAATATCTTACTTGTAATGCGATACAAGCTTCAGTGATTATCAAATAAACTGAAAAGCAGTGCCGTGTAAATATTAGTATTGGGCAAACAACCCAAATTTCCTAGGTGTTTGCTATGAAACTTAAAGGCTCCATGCACACTGGCTTTTTTTTTTTTTTTAAAAGCTCCTAGAAGCTAGTCTGAGCATTTTTTTTACCGGCTCCTAGAAGCTAATAGTGCTATCTTATGTTCCCATGCGTTTTTCAAGCTTCAGCATTTATGAGCAGAAAATTGTTTCTGTAGAGTTTTTGGGAGTGTTTTTCCCCAGCAAAAACAAAAAACACTGAACACTCCTAAAATGCTAATATGCTTCTAAACACTTTTAAAATGCTACTACAAGCCAACACAAATCATCAGCGTTTTTTTCAGCCATTTGTTTTTCTAGCGTTTTTTTGAGCTTTGAGTGCATGGAGCGTAAGGCCTCAGGAGTTTTTTTTTTACTGCTTTCAAATGGTCCTCCATGTTATCCTATATGTCCATGCACACATAGACTTTTAGTAGCAG